GTTATAATCATGTCTTGTGATTATTTGACAGGAGTTTTACTTTTAAACTGTAAGTATATTTAATTTAGTTATGTTAGTTATGATAGTTTAGTTATGTTGTAAAAATTAAACCAAGATTTATAATAATTATCATTTTGATCCATACATTGGTAATGTCTGACTGGGCTTCGTGTCACTTTTTGTTCAACAAACTGGGCCCTGAGGTCAAAAAGGTTAAGAACCCCTGGATTAATTTATCTTCTGTTTCCTGTGTGGACAGTGCATTTAAAGTAAATACTCAAAATTGTATTTTTCTATTAGTTTTTTCACAAGAAGAAAATGTAAATTTTGTGGACAGTACAGCTGAAATAAATGGTCAGTAAATGTGTCTGTAATGGTAACACACATCTGTATGCTACAGGAGCAACACTCCTGGTTTTATAGAGGTGGGCACAGATTTAACCTCTTCAGCCCCATGCCGCCATTGGCGGGGGCAAAAACGTATTATTATTATTATTATTATTATTTTGCTTTCTTTATTAACCAATGTTCTCATAGGTAAACATAGATGTGTGTGGTATCTATAGAAATGTCAGAATTTTGGCTAAAAACTCATAGAAACCATTTTTACGTCCACCAGACACAGATAAAACAACAAGCAGTTGAATCTGTATGTAAACAAACTGCACAAAATGGCGTCTCGGTAAAACCTGGTCTCAGCTGTTCACCAGTGACTTCTTCACACACAAACATGTCTGCTGAAAACAGAGACCTGACAGATTCTAAAAATATAAGTTTCATCACAATCCAACCAGAATTCACTCAACTAGCAGTAAAAAAACAGAAGACCTAGCACTCGGATTGGAAAATTATAAAACATAAGTTTTACATGTAAAGCGCAGCGTCACTCACCGCACTTCTGGTTGTGTCTATGTGCCGTTTAAAAAAATAAAATAAAATATAAAATGTGCCATTTTTGCTAGTCAGCTTATTTATTTATCAAGTTTTTTAAGTTTTGTAACTAAAAACTTTTAAAAAAAAACTCTACTTTTGTAGGTGGTGCCAGAATGTACCAGTGTGTACCACAAGAAAAAACGCCTAACCATTTTTAAACCTTTTAAAACCTCTGTCACTTTGTTGTAGTTTACTTCAGCAGCATGAGGTTTTACACAGGTAATGTTCATAAGTGGATTCATGGTTTCCAAGAGTTTTTAGCCTCATTCATTGTACTTTTGAAAAGGTTATATACTGTATAATGCAGAAAAACCTCAGGCGAGGGGAAAAAAGCTGTTTTTTTTCTATGTTCCATCCTCAGTATCTCTGAAACAAAAGCATTTGATGTGATACTTACACTCCTGATGAAATCTCCCAAGTGTTAGCTTTATTTTGATATCAGGGGTATGGTGTTTTTAGGTACACCATTTGGGCATGCTTTTTTAAGCACAAACTTCAAGAAAACCC